TGTGATCAGCTGGTTTTGGTTGTCAGCAGCAAACTGGTTGATCCACTATGAGAAGGTGCTATTTAAGAGACTGAGCTGAAAACAGCACCTCAGACTGAGGAAGTCTCTTGGATGAGAGACGAAACGTTTCTATATTTTTTTGCTTTGTTTTGTTTTTTTTTTATGTCCAGAGGACCAGATTGAACTTTTTTGGGTTACTACAATAGTATTTCCACATTTATAAGACTCATTGTAAATTCCATGTTTTATATTTTAAAGTTGAATAAAGCAGGATCTACGGATGTTTACAATTTACACCAAAATAAGCATGTGAGTAAACATAACAGGAAACATGGACAGACACTACGACAGCACTGTTGGTAATAGTTTTAATCAGGACAACACTAAAAAAAATCAAGTAAATCCAGTTGTTTTGTAGTGCTCCGTGTGCAACATTCACCGTTAAGTCATGACACCGTGATAAACTCAAATTTACCCTGTGCAAACAGGTCAATCCATAATCATTGCTAGATAAACTACCAAATCTAAATGATAAACAATTCACACAAAAAAGCATATTTAATCATACATTTATGATTCTCAACAAACAATTTGTCAGAATCAACCTAATTATTTTTTAAAGTTCCAATTAAGTTTTCCCACTGTTAACATCAATTAAATTGTATTTGGCAACATAAGACCATTATCAAGTCAATATCTGTCCTGAACACTGGCAACAATAAGTGCTTTGAGATACGGATCTGGACTGGTTCTACGTTTTACATACTGTAAGTGCGTGCAACAAGGTAATGCCTGAATTAAGCTAAGGATGTGAGAACATGCACCAAATGAGCAAACATACAGTAGAACAGAGGCATATTTCTAGGTAACATGCACCAAAATAATAAAAAAAAGAACCTCAAACCTGGATACTGGTAAAGTCAGGAGTTGCATCAGGTCTAAAAGGGTTAAATCAAGTGCCATTTTTTATAATAATATTAATAATAAAATATACTGTATATGAGATTTGAAGTTGATCTTAAAAAAAGCATACAATTAGTACCTAAATATATAAAGAGACCTGACCTTTCTCAGCATGCCTTGCAGATGCTTCAGATTTCTAGCTCACACACTACAAACTTGAACTTGATTTAGCTGCACTCAAACATCCTCATACACTTGGTGTGTTTTTTTTATGTGCAAGAATTTAAAAAGCTCAAAAGAAATGTTCTTACAGCAAACTGGTAAACTCTGTTACTAATCCCCACTGCTCTAAAAACTCAGTGATGTCACAAATAGCATACTTGTCTTAAGATGACTTTAGCTTAGTCCTAACACGGGCTGCTTGTGCTCAACATTTAGAAATTTGAAGATAACCAAAACAATTGACAAAACAAAAGAATAACATCTGTCCACAAAAGAAAAGACATGCTACAAAATCCAACTTGAATGTGCTAGGGCCACTCAGAAGAAAAATTAGGAGCTTAGTAAATCTTAAACAGAAAAATGTTGCAATGTTGAGGAAAAAAAAAAGTGTTTCAACACTAATCTGGAGGAATTGATCTCTACTGCGTTTGTTTCATTTTATATTGGGCATTTCATTATTTTATCTGGGAGTTATGGGTGCACTTTTACTAGGTTAAGTACATAACGGTTCTGTCTTTGTTGAAACCTTTCATTGATGAAAGGTTTCAACAAAGAAGAATCCGTCCAGAGGACCTGACTCAACCTTGTTAGATTTATCTACCTGGATTATTGAGCATGCACTGAGATACAAAACATGCAGTATTATAGCTGAAGTGGTCCAATGTGCAGTTTATCACTCCTACTGCAGCAAAAATCACAGAATAAGTCACGCACACAGAGTACTAACTTCCAAAGACTCAGATTTTATGGTAGTCCAGGCTGCAGTATCAGTTTTACTGAAGAAAAACAATGTAAACTACGTTCATAAGCTTCAGATGTTCAGACAAGAGGTTTTGGAGGTTAACGCATGTATTTGAGACTCCTGTTGTGTTGTGAAGGATTGAAACAGATTCTGTGAGCTTTGCTGCAGCAGGAGAAGTAAACAACACCTCAGACTGTTTTATGTAAAATATAGCATATTTTCTAGTTAACCCAGCATAAACGCATACATAACCCTCAAAGGCAATAAGCCTAACAACAAATTAAACAGATACAGTAGGGTTCACTTCCTTTGGCTCTTAGAACACGCGTTTCTGACTTTTTTCGTCAGTAAAAATTACACTTTATAAAAAATAAATTCTCATTTTTTCCCTTTCAGTGGCTCGATATGCTATTGTAAATAACAGTCATACTTGCTGTGATTAAGACACGAGTGAACGGGTTCCCATCTCAGTGCGAATAATTCTTAGTAGTGGTTCTGTGGAGCCGTGTAGTGGGTACTTAGCACACTAAGATTTGGCTAGTCATGGTTTAGGTAGTGGCAATTTGGTGCATTTTCATCAAACACATAGGCCACATTTGGTTTATTAATGAATTGAATCAAAACAAATCATAAGTGTTTGCATATTTAACTTCACCCCACTGAAAAGATTAGAAACTATTCCACACAGACTAAGATAATGGTTCAGTAACATCAGGGCACTGCAGCAGTGTTTGACTTAAAGAGCTTTCAGCAGTTAAAAAGTAATATTGAACAGATTATTTCAGCAGTTAAAAAGTAATACTGAACAGATTAGAGGCTGAACAGTTTCTGTAAATTCTCTAAATATGACACAGGGCAATGTGAGGTAGAGTATCACATAAGCAAATGGACCACAAAGTTGCCAGACATTAAGCGCAAGGGTTGGAGTTGGTTGTAATCAGGAAAGTGAGAAAACATAATTCAACTTTACACTTCACCAAAATTGGTGTGGCCAGTCTCCTTGGCATGCTCACGGGCCTCCTTTTGTCCCACCAGGCCCATCTGGCACACCATGCAGCGCAGCGCAAAGCGGTTAACGTCTGTGAACTGCCGCTTGCGGCGAGCCTCGTCAGCCAACTCTAGGGCCTGTGCCAAGATTATGTCATCTGTGGTAGAAAAGATAGTCTGAGGTGGGGCGTCAGAACCGGGCATCTCTTTCTGCAGCGGGTCATAGTGGATGCCATCATAGATGAGCAACACACGTTTGTGGTAACCAGCATCCTCCCCGAATCTATCTACTCGAACTGTCTGCGTGTCCACCACACAGATCTCACACTGGTAAAACTTGGACAGAATAGACACCTCGATGGCTCCTCCCCAGGTGTCGTCACGTCTTATCCAGGAGCAGTACTCCTCGTTAGTTTTTCCTAGCACTGCCTCAGAGTAAGCTGCAGGGTCACTTGAGACTATCTGGGCAATGAGACCACGCATCTCAGGGGCACAAGCGGGGTCATACACACCTCCTTCCACAACATAATAAATACTGGTAAAGAGGCAGGAGTTGTCAGCAGGGACCACTCGACGCGCCAACACAGGTGAGACTTCCAGGTGAGGTGCTTTCACGATGGGATGATCTTGTGGCTTTGGCTTTCTTTGTTCTTCCTCAACAATGAGTGTGTCTCCTGTATGGGATGACACACCAGTCACACAACATTGTTCATTCTGACCACATTTTGGTTTGAAAAAAAGGAACATTACCTTGAATGTATTGGATATACTAAATGACAGACTTCTCAGTTTCTCTTACTTCTATTTGTTAAGTGTCCCCTTGATCCCTAATTAAAAGTCTCAAAGAGAGGTGGTTGAACGATTTCCCATAAAAATAACTCTCCTCGGTCTACTTTAGCAATTTGTGTTGCTGTACAACAAGTTCTCCAATACAAGATATGCTTATTTAGGTCTTTAAATCCAAAGTGTTTGTGATTCAACCCTGGGTCAAATCATCACTGAAACTGCCTCAGACAATTTTCATTTATTTCCAAGAGGTATTTCAGTTCAGCAGTTATCTGAGTATATACACAGAGCCACAGGAGTAACTCAAAGCTTCAAGCCTCCATCCATGTGAAGCTGACAGATGACAGAAGGAATAAATGAGTTAAGTAGCGTGTTTTCTTTCATGGTGCTATGAAGCAGCAACCTGAAGGCATTACTATAAATTCAGAAGACAGGATGTGGTCCTGTCAGGATACTATTCCCTGGCTTTGTGGAGCACCAGCTTTTTCACAAGGAAAGCAAATGCCTCCGCCCTATTATTTTGAACCAGACCATAACAGTGCTCTGGGGATCATTCATATCTTTTATAGACTGACCACCAAACCAACAAAGGAAAAGGTTAAAATCTATTCAATGAAAGACCGATCAACATGCTTAATGTGGCTCCTGGGAGACAGACCCTTCAAATATAAGGCTAGTGCTGAAAGTAATTCAATGTTTGGCATTTCTATTTTTGAGATATGGCTTAAATATTTCTTGTTGATAGAGCTCATGTCCTAGAACTATAAATAATTTATCAGTTATGCTGCAACAAGCATAAGTTCCTGGAAGTTGCCCATGGCACTGCTTCCAACATTTTTTCATCACAGTCACAAAATCATCCTTACACCTTTAATCACTGGGTTTATCTCAGATAAAACATTTGATAATTCATTTCGTATTTACCTTATGTTATCAGCACATCTGTCACCGGGAATGAAACATACCTGATTTGATAGGGTAGTCCTTTAGGTGAGCCTCTCCGTTTCGAAGATCGAGGCTGGATGGAGGGTAACCTATCATTATTTTCTGCACATCACAAGGGATCCCAGTCAGCTCCTCCACTTTGCTCTTCAACTCCCGCACACAGGACTGGTGAGTCAAGCCCTGCATTATGTGGCTCCCATTTTTGGTCTTACAGCGAAGTCGCAACATCCTGTCTGCAAAAACAAAGCACATTAAATTTGTAATTTACTGAATATTTGGTAAGAACTTCACTCATCTGCAATGACACTTGTAGACAAGAAACTGATCAAGTAGATGTCAACATTCATAACCATCATAAAACACGATTCATTTTTAATGTGTGACAAGAAAGAATTAAAAAAAATACGCTTATCAAATTTTAAAGCAATTGTCATTTCACCGCAAACTCCTAAAATCTTTGAAACGTGTTCATTATTCCAATTACTGTTGCTTCTCTTCAGATTATTTTATTGTGATGATAGACCTAGTCAGCAAAACAGCAGTATTTTGGTATGGTTAATGAAAAGCTAGTAGCTATACACGTCAGGGTGAGTATATATTAACAGTATCATGATAAAGTCACTCTAGTGTGGTAAAACAACAGAAATGCTGACGAACAGGAGAAGAAATGCCCAATAGCCGAACTGCTTTGTTACGGTTTCTTTGTTCCAGCTAACACTGGACGACTTCATTCATCAGTAACAGGCTAAGCTAAAACCCTCACCGTTAAATAATAAGCAACTTTAGCTCTGTGGTTAAACAAATGGCCATAGTCCTTAAAGTACGGTTCATGCGTTAAAAAGTAGCGTTTAAATTTATGAACATAACACAAAATGTATGTATTCAGTTAGATATACATTAGGCTAAACAGACCACAAGTTATGTGTGCTAGCTAAGGTTAGAGTTAAGCTAGGCGGGTGAGGGTCCGACAGTTTCAAACTTGGCTCTCCACGTCCGTCGAGTATCTAACGAAAGTTACTTATTTTAAAAGACATCCCGATTTAAGACACAGCGAGGTACGTTCTGTTTTCTCACCTGTCATTCACTTCTGCCCTGCTACACCTCAAACAATAAACATCCAACGACGAGATGAGCGGACTAATGCTAAACTGACGTGACCGTGGCGTCATGACGTAAATGGTTCACGTGCACCGTACCGTTCCAAAATACAAGTTGGTAAATGTTTTATCTGTGGTTACATTTATTGTTTGTGAACAAAATGCGCGTCAGAAACAATGGGAAATAGATTGATTTAGTAACTGGTGCCTTTAAGTATCTGTTATGTCACTAAAAAAATTAACTACACGGATTTTATCATTTATACAAAAATATGAGCATGGATGTGCATCTGATACAATGAGGTAAAATTGTGAAAGGCAAAGTTTTTAAAGTGTTCATTACAATAGCAGAATGAGTCTGTTAGGGCTGTGGTTCCTATTATTGAGGCCAGGACTCCACTGTGGGTCATGAAACACCAATTTGGTGTTCCTTGGATTTTCAAGAAATTTAGTGTAAAGGATATTGCAAATTTTATTTGTTCCCAAAATTATTACAGATGCAAATATCTTTATTTCACCGTGACATACGTCACATTTAAGTTTCAGATTTTAACTTGATGAAGAACAATTAACTTAAGGTACCAAATAAGATTCAAACATTCTCCAAGAAAAAAATGAAGCTTTTTTAAATGTACTTTTATTGGTTGCTTAAAAGGCACAAAAGGCTGCTTTGAGCTGGACAACAACTTATCAAACTCATCAGTATTCAAACAGAACAAACTCAATAACTATAACTTACCAGTCTCTCACCATATAAAGAAAACTAGTTTTTCATAACAAAAATAAAAATAGAAAAAACTGATCAGTGACAACATACGCACAAACAACAAGCATGTCAGTGTTTTGCATATTTTCACAAAAAGAACCACATTTTGGATTTTGCATTTACTTTCACACACACAAAAATTGCAGATACTTTTTACAATTTTTACTGCCTGCTGCTGGTTTATAAAGTACTGAGCAACACAGTTTGTTCTATTTTGTATAGGCTTCACCCTTTAAGGCCCTCGCTAGTGGGTTTTATCCTGTGATGCAACGCATCGCACTGAAAAGTTTAGTCCACGCCCACCTGTTGTGTGGGCCCCACCTGGTCCGTATAAATTACGTTAAGAGCGTGTAATCGGCTCCCATTTTTCTTCAGCAAGCGTATAGCACTGACCTTCAACAACGAGATGTCCAGCACCAACACCATTCGCCTGTGTCCATCCTGCAAGACAGGCTACTTGCTGAGCTTAGACCGGCACAACACCTGCAAAGGATGCCTGGGTCCCCGCCACGCCGCCCTTGCCTCCTCCTGCCAACTCTGTGACATCTCCCCCGCAGAGGAGAGGCAGAGGCGAGCAGCCTTGTTCAAAGCTAATGTCGAGGAATGCCTCTCCGTGGCGGGGGACTGTTCGCTGGACGACGCCATCAACTTTTTTGATGCCTGCTCTCAGAGCGAATCAGATGGTTCCTCCGGGACAGGCAGCGTCAGCAGCATCCCCGCTGCTCCCTCCCTCCCGGAGAGCGTAGTGTCTGAACGAGGGGGACCGAGCGGATGCTCACCCCCCCGGGCCTTTCCGCCTCAGCGGCCAAATGGTGCCCTCCTTTCGGAACTGCCCGGCATAATCCAGGAGGCTGCTGACACAAAGGGACATTCCGTCCCTTTCCTCCCCCCGCCCAGATCGGATGATCTAGCGGGAAGGTTTTGCTCCACCCCGGCTTGCCGTCCTGATCCCATCTGGCCTCGTTTCCCAGCAATGACGTCCTACTGGAACGAGGCTGCAGCCGGACCTGGTAAATTGAGAGCACCCGTCTCCACATTCGCTCCCATCACCAGAGTGGAGAGGTTTACCCAGCGGAACTTTCCCTCGGTACTCCCCCTGGAGCCGAGCTTGGCGGAAGCTTTCAGAGCGAAGTTGTCCAAGTTGGACCAGCGTCCTGTTCCTCCAGGGAAGCATGACCAGATGGTGACGTCACTCTCCAATCGAGCTCACCAGTGTGCGTTCCAGGCGGCCGCAGCAAACTATAACGTGGCGCTGTTGGCGTACAGCGTTTCAAAGAGTCTGGAGGGCACAGACCTGCCTGAGAAGATGAAGAGCTCCCTCTGCAAGGCGTCCAACGTCATCCACAACCTGTGCACCTCAACTGTTGTCTGCCTGTCTCGCATCGCAGCCTGGATGACGATGATCCAGAGGTCCATCTGGCTCCGTCACTCTGAGTCACTCTGAGACGGAGAAACTGCAGAAGGACCTGATGGAAGGCCCCATTACGACGGATGCGCTGTTCGGGACCAATTTCAAGGCCATGCTGGAAAAGTCAAAAAAGTCGGAGGAGGTGTCAGAGACTGTGCACCATCTGATCAAGCCGCATGCCTCATCCCGGCCCCTGGCTCGCTGGAAGGATCGTCCTGGCCAAAGGCAGCAACAGAGACGTTCCACAGCTGCAGCAGCATCCTCCCGCTCCGCTCCGACGCCAGCCCCTCCCGTCAGAGAACAGCCCTTCTCATCCCGGCAACCAGCGGTACAGTGTTTCCCCAGAGATCGCCAACAGGTGGCTCCCTGGGACAACAAACTGCAGGGTGCACGGGGGAGAAGATTCAAGAAATGACTCCTTGCGGGGGATGTGTGTGTGCAAAATGATGACATGAGTTTTGAAATAAAACACAAACATCATTCAAAGATTAAAGTGTCTGATTTCAGCCTGTCTGTCGGTTCGAATGATCTCACAGTGGCTTCTCCTCACACATCCTCCACACAAAACGAGCCGGTGTCCTCAAAACAGGTTTTAAAAATCACAGCAGCTCAAAGGAACACAAAAAACGCTCGTGACACAGCAGCCAAAAGTGAATGTTTTCAGCAGATCGAGTCCAGTGGGAAACCTTGCTCTCAGCCTGGGCTGCGCGCTGCCTCCTTTCACTGCAGCAGTGTCAAACGCACGCTCCCGTGGCACAGGCAGTTTTCACCCAAACGGCGCCGCGTTGATGAGGGCGCACACCAGCTCACATCAGCGCGAACGTGAGTCCACAGCCTGAGCGTGGCACAGAAGCGCGTTCAGAGCTCTTTCAAGAAAGCCTCCCCTTGGGTCAAGCGGAACACACCCCCGCGACACATGACGGCGGTGGAGGCTGTAAACTGGCTGACGTCCGTAAGAAACATGACGCATCACAAAAACGCGTGCCCACTCCCCGAACGTTTCGCGGAGTGGCAGTGACGTGCTCTCTAGACATGGATGAGCCGTCTTATCAGCAGGGGTTATACGCTGCAATTTGCAGCTTAATTCCCCCCCCCCATCGGAGAAATTTTAGAGATGGTTCTGTCATCCCCAGACCAGTTCTCGTCCCTACACGCAGAAGTTCAGGAACTTCTGGTAAAAGATGTAATTTCCAGGGTTCCCAACGGAGAGGAAAACACAGGGTTTTACTCACATTACTTCCTGGTCCCAAAACGGACCGGAGGGATGAGACCCATTTTGGATTTGTCAATTTTCAACAAGGCAATCATGGAGAGACAGTTTCACATGTTGACAACCAGAAAGCTGTTAGACAACATTCAGGTTAGATAACATTCAGCGAAACGATTGGTTTATCTCCATCGATCTGAAAGACACCTACTTTCGCATCCCGATCATCTCAAAGCACAGATTCAGTATCAGTACAACAGGCTGCCGTTCGGTTATTCCCTCGCGCCTCGTACATTCTCAAAGTGTGTGGAGACGGCTCTGAAACCGTTACACAGAGCAGGGATGAGAATTTTGTTTTACCTTGACAATCTGTTGCTGCTGACCCGTTCCAGACAGGAGGCAGCAGCGCAGACCCAGGTGCTGACGTCACACCTGTTAAATCTGGGCTTCGCCATAAATTGGGAAAAAATCTCGATTCTCCCGGCCCAGACGATCGTTTATCTGGGAGTGGAGCTAAACTCGATCACCATGAGGGCTCGTTTATCACAGACGAGAATCGAAACTCTAAAAGACCAGCTCCGCCATGTAAGGCCTGGCAGAGTGGTAACAGCCATTTCCGTCATGAAGCTATTAGGAATGATGTCGTCAGTTCACACGGTGGTTCCGCTGGGCTTACTCCACATGCGACGCCTTCAGAGATGGTTCGCTCGTCTGCATGTGGATCCAGTGAGGCAGAAGAGACGGATGATTGCTGTGCCCCCCTCCGTGAGAACAGACCTCCGACACTGGGGAAACCCCCTTGTTCTGTCGGAGGGAGTCCCTGTCAGCAGAACTACGTCACACGTCTCAGTGTTCACAGATGCGTCCCTGTCAGGTTGGGGGGGAACATGCCTCTCCCAAGCTGTAGGGGCGCTATGGCCACCTCACACAACAGCTCATATAAATGTTCTGGAATGTCGCAGAGTTTTGAATGTGATTCAACACTTTGCCTCTGCGCTGCGGAATCAACATGTTCTGATTCACACAGACAACAAGGTTACTGTAGCATACATAAACCGGCAAGGGGGTGTGCACTCAGCCCAAATGTTACACATTGCAAGACGGTTGCTGTGTTGGGCACACCAAAATCTGCTCTCCATTAGAGCAGTGTACATCCCCGGTGTTCTGAACAGAGGGGCGGATGTGATGTCCAGGGGCGGTCCGCGTCACGGGGACTGGAGCCTCCACCCCGACCTGATGGCTCAGAAATTTGGCAAAGTGGCTGTGGACCTGTTTGCAACACGAGAGAATGCTCAGTGCCAACTATGGTTCTCACTGAGCCCGCGAGATGAACCACCGTTAGGGGTGGACGCGTTTGCTCACAGCTTTCGACACAAAATGCTTCTTTACGCATTTCCCCCACTCCCTCTGATATTACGGTTTCTGAACCGAGTTTAGGAGGAGGGATTGACAGCCCTCCTGGTGGCTCCCGAGCCCGTGAACGCCCCACGGTTCCCAATTCTATGACGCCTGTTATCGGGGCGCCCGTGAAAACTGCCGGGGGGGGGGGGGGGGGATGCTCTCCTCCAGGCAGGAGGAGCTATCAGGAGCTACCCAGATATAGGCCAGCACCTTTGGGTCTGGCCGCTGAACGGTTCTGTTTGGAGAGGATGGGTCTCTCCCAAGATGTAGTGCGCACGATCCAGGATTCACGTGCTGCCTCCACCACAGCGCTGTACACATCAAAGTGGACAGCTTTTCAGCGCTGGTGTACTGAGAAAGGTGTAGAGCCACCTCATGTCCACTAGGTGGCGTGCTGTCCTTTCTGCAGCAGCTGATGGACAGAAATCTGGCATTCAGCACGATTAAAACGTACGCTGCAGCCATCTCTTCCTGTCACGAAGGTTTCGGGGACAGAACAGCTTTTAATCACCCGCTGATGAAGCGTTTTTGAAAAGGTGTACAGAGCCGCAGGCCTGTATCACGCCCACTTGCTCCACAGTGGGATTTAATGCTGGTTCTGCGAGCCCTGATCAAAGCTCCATTTGAGCCACTGAATCAGGTCCCGGTTAATTTTTTGTCTCTTAAAACAGCCCTGCTGTTGGCTTTAACATCCGCTAAGAGGGTGAGCGATTTATCTGCCCTCTCTGTCGCTCCATCATGCCTCAGAATTCAGGCTGACGGCAGCTCAGCTGATCTGAGGCCTAACCCAGCCTTTATGCCTAAAAACATCACAAACTCTTTTAAATCAAGAGCGGTATCGTTGGAGGGATCCCCCCCCCCCCCCCCACCCCCAAAACAGAAGAAGAAGCATCTTTCCATCTTCTCTGTCCTGTGTGTGCGTTGACTTTGTAGGGCAACACCACCTTTGAACAGAGTTCACCTCATCTCAAAACAAACATCATTCATGTGTGTGTTTTAAACTGTTAAAACAAGATGCATTTATTCCCTTGGGAACGAACAGACTTTATTTTACAGGTGTTAAACTCAGCCTTGTCATAGTGTTGGCCACTTTCAATATGAACTCATTTCCCACGAAACGGACAGATTGTCTGAATGAGAGCTGTGGTTCATTTTTGACCTCGAGGCGGGACACCTGCCGAGGAGTTTACTCCCAGGATTTTCCCATGGAGATAACAGTTTTAAAAGAATCCTTTGTTTTAAAAAGGACATTCTCTTTTCAGGAGATGAACAGCGACACCTATTTGACGAACATTGCATGTGATTTCTACAGTTTCAGAACTGAATGCTTGTTATTTTAAATGTCTGTTTAAAGTAATCTCTCTAAGATAATCATGTTTATTTTTCTCCTTTTTAAAAGAAGTGTGACTTGTAAAAGGCAGACAAATAAAATGGACTGTTATTTTATATTAAAACATGACAGAGTTTATGAACCATATCTCGTCCGGTGGGAGGTCCTAAGTCAATCTGTAACACCCAGACAGACATTTCACCTCTCAGTCTTCTTCTTTACACTTCACCGCTCCTTCTACATGAAGCCACTTCAACTTCTTCCCTAGTGAGATGCCCTGGAAGAAGCTTTTCTGCAAACGTCTCAGGATGAGAGGACCTGGCATTAGAGTGAGATCCTAACCAGAGACATCGCCGCAGAGTGATAAAATCCCAGCTGACTTCAGAGCCAGTGACCGGACCTTCGTCCCTCCAACGGTGATCGGTGACTTTTGAGGAAACAATCCGCCTTTCAGTCACCGAAGCATCTCAAGCCTTGCTGGTATCATCATAAGCAGTTGTGGACAGTCTGACAATTTATTCTGGTGAGAGCGACCCTTCAATGCACTTTCTGGTGATCATACATTCAAAATAACGTTAATTTAGATAAACCACAGTTAATTTAGACACAATTTAACTACACCCCAACAAACCAGTCCAAGGTTCTGCCTTTTATAAAAAGTTACACTGAATTTAATAATCAAATAACCTTTGACACAAGGTAATTTTGTTATTAATTTGTGTATTAATTTTTATGAATAATCTTCATCAGAGTATTATTTTTGTAATAAAATACATAAAAATCAACTAAATTTGTGATGATTTTGACATATCTGTGTGCATTAACTGATTTAATGCTCTTTAAACATGAGCTAGAATTCACGTTTCAGTTACATTTGAGGGTAGAGACTGATTTATTTTCCTCTCCAAGAGGTGGTGCCCGCTGAACGAGGTTATTTGTATAATAAATGCATATCTTATGAGCTTAACTCATAACTAATAAATTATATAGATATCCGATCAACAAATCCCTCTACAACGTGTTACATAGCACGCACGGCCGCACTGCGTCAGACTCAACATTTGTTTGTGCATTATAGAGATGCATCTGCAGGTTGCCCGTTATCCACCCAGCACCTGTCACACTGGCTGTGTGAGGCCATTTCTGAAGCCTACAGAGCATCAGATTTAGAGCCTCCTGATAACCTCAGGGCACACTCGACCAGGGGTATTGCATCTTCGACTGCTTTGCATAATGGTATGACAATGCAGGATATTTACACTGCGGCCGCATGGTCAACACCCTGTTCATTTATTCGCTTTTATTTACGTGATGTGTTGGCTCGTTCCATGACACATTCTGTCCTTAGTGCCTTAACAGAATGAATATTGTTGTTTCATGGAATCTCGTTTAAACTCACATCTGACTGCATGCATTTACAGTGTGAGATGTTGTTATCAGTCACAGGTTGTGACTGTTGTTCTTGTTTTATTGTCACTAATCAGTTCATGACTATTGGGGTGGCTGTGGCTGAGTGGTTAGAGCAGTCGTCCTCCAATGCGAGAGTTGGGGGATCGAATCCACCAGCAGTCACATGCTGAAGTGTCCCTGGGCAAGACACTGAACCCCTCATAGCCTCTGATGTGTGTCCCATCAGTGTATGAATGTGATAAAGCTCTGATTAGTCTCTTTAGAATGATTTATTCAATTAGCTTTGTAGAGATCTAGCAGAGTGCTGCATGAATGGGTAAATGAGGACATAGATTGTAGTGTAAAGCGCTTTGAGTATCTTGAAATAACATAGAAAGGTGCTATATAAGTACAGTCCATTTACTATTTCCATTTATTGTTATCAATCAGTTCATTTGATTAATAATCAGTTCACTTATTATTATTAATCTGTTCGTATTGAAGAACCGTGGATCTGCTTGGTTTTCTGCTTGGCCTTTTTCAGCCTCTTCTTTTTCCCGTTGAAAACTTTCTGGGGCGTTCACTCAGAACGCGCAACTACGCAGCACACGTCTGTGCATGGTACGCGTAATTACGCAACGCGCAATTACGCTCATGGAGAGCTGAGTGACAAGACATTTTTTGGGCAAGCAGGCACTTCATATGGTGTTCGAATGGACCCAGTGAGGCGAGGACCACATCATGCTTCGCCTTTTAACATACTAGCGGGGGCCTTAAAGGGCGAAGCCTATACGAAATAGAACGTTGGTTACGTACCCCAGATTCTATGAGTATAGGCGTAGTCCTTTAAGCATCGGGCCTCACTGGCTCCTAAATGGCTGAAGAAAAAGCTATTTGGTAGCCGATTACCCACTCTTAACGTAATTTATACGGACCGGGTGGGGCCCACACAACAGGTGGGCGTGGACTAAACTTTTCATTGCGATGCGTTGCATGACAGGCTAAAACCCACTAGCGAGGGCTACGCCTATACTCATAGAATCTGGGGTTACAGTACGTAACCAACGTTTTATAACAGCTGATAAAAATATTCCCAATAAAGCTAGGAAGATTGAACAATATTTTGATTCGATTCTGCCAAGATAAAATTTAATAGATACTCAACAACCTACATTGACATTTTGTAAATATATGCACATTATACATATAGATGTGTATTATAAATATATTGATATAGCATGTACCTAATGTTTACTTTGCAGTAGCAAAAACAGATCCACAAGATAAAATGCATATCTTGATCTTGTTACATTCTGTAGCATTTTGAAAAGCTGATGGAAGTTAAGTAAGGCATTGCTGCATTTACAGTGAGAACAATTAAACAGCTCTGCAATACAGTGCGTTCTGGTTGGTGTACATGCAATAGTGTTATAAACAGGTTTCAAATGTCTGAAAATGCAGAGTAAAAATGGACATCTTAAAGATAAGCATAAGCATGTAGCACAGTTTCTTCTCATATCTTGATCAGGAACTGTTCGGTGACCTCATCCTGTAATCAGTGTTAAGACAAGTGCTTCCACTGTGTGACTTATGAAAGACTCAAGAACCTTTACAATCTGTGACATGAAGAAAGGTGGAAAAACAAGGGATCCAACCTTCACTCAGAAGCGGACACAACCACTAGTTTCTTCGGCGTTGTCAAAGTTGATTCCTTCACACAGGAACTCCTTTGAAAAGAGGACATGGGACCAGCATTTACAAATTAATTTATTGAAGCAGTAGATTTAATTTGTGGCAACTAATTCATTCAACCTTTATTCATACAGGTTAATCCCATTGAGCCTTGGGGACTCATTTACAAGATACCTGAACTAATAGCTTCTCTGGAAGCCTAGGCAATTTAGAAAATTAAACATTTGTGTAAGGTGAAGTAAATTAGCCATATTATTCAGACCTTTCCACTTCTGTCTTGTGTGGTCTGATTGAAAGTGGTCAGCTTTGACTGGACGTCCAGGCAATAACTGCTTTTTGTGTGGGATCACATCGGTTCAGAAGGTGGTCCCACATCAAGGCTCGGGGCAAATTGTGCTCAGACTACCACTGTATGCTGATAAAAGGGGTCCAGACCATTTTCAAAGGAGGTCTGCCTGTATTTAGTGCTGTCCAAATGCATCTGGATCACTCAGGACAAATACAGGTCCTTCTCAAAAAATTAGCATATTGTGATAAAGGTCATTATTTTCCATAATGTAATGATAAAAATGAAACTTTCATATATGTAGTGAACTAAGCCTCAGGTCAAAGTCCTGGCCTTGAGGGCCTTCCTGGAACAAGAACTGTATTTCATTGATTTGAGTCCAGAAACACAAGATTAAGTTCATCCAGAGACTTTCTAAGTGCCCTGCACTGATCAATTGAAAGAACACTCTCTTTTTATTATCATTACTATTTTACAAATGTTTGATAATCAAAGTGTGTTTAGTTCAAACCATTTTTAAATGTTGAAGTGAACTACTCATTTTTAATCAACTGTGAAACAGTATTAGTGATTTTTAATCCTCATGCAAAGTAGAAATCACGTTAAGGTCTGTTACAGAATAATTATGCATTTTCTGATTTTCTGTCTTTGAATGAGCAAGTGTAAGTTGGTCCAAGGTTGGAGTTAAACGCAAACAAGTTGTTGGAACGAACTGTCATGTTTTTAAATCCTCTCAGACGTAAATATAGAGGCTGGCACCTGTTTTCCCCCAACTCGCCTAAATATTCCTCTCGTCTGTCTTTAAAACATTTTCAATCTGTTCCATAACATTCTTGCTGTTTTTCTGACTTCTAGTGACCTCTTACGTCACAAAAACACACCCCTGTCTGGTCGATTTTGACCAATCAGGAACCTCCCAAATGAACCGGAAATAGAACTCTTTAAATGTCGGTACTTCCTGGGGCTTCAGTCGGTTCCAGCTTCAAGCGCCAGCTCCAGTCGAGTGCGGTGGGAGAGAAGTTCAGTTCTGGGAGCAGAACCGAACCGAGAAGTGCTGGAGAAAACAGGAGAATCCCGACATGATCCGCAGTTCTTCTGAGTCTTGTGGGATTTTGACATCTTCCACCTCTGAGTGGAACTCCTGACGGACTTACTCCTCTTGTGAGTCCACCAAGAGGTGAACTTGTGTCGAACAAGTACCGTCACTACTTCGGACGATTCACAGCTGTTCCTACGGAGACGCTGAAAGGGTGCGTTAAATGGAACTTCGTACCAGTGGAGACATCTCCTCCAGGTAAAGAGTTGATTTATACCACCTAAGTGTACCGAGGAAGAAGCTAGGAGTTCACCGGAGAGTGCCGTTCTGATGCCGACACACACATTTCCCTCATCCATCCTTTCTCTCAACTTAAACTTCATTTCCATCTTTAAAACCCTTCTATCTGCTAGAAATCATTCCAGATATTTTCAGAAATGTCTGTTGTACAGCTGGAAGCAAGGGAAACCATCGCCGTATGGTTTCTAATTGTACAGCTTGCTAAATTAGCCATGTTGTTATTTTTCAATTTGCCAAATTAATGTAAATGTGTGATGTTAAACTTTGATTCTGTAAATAAATGACCGCATTCATTTGATGGGTCAAAGAAAATTAACGTCTCACGATACATTTTATTAAATTCAATGCACGACATTATTCAGTCCAGAAAAATGAAAGAATCCGTTTAATTTATGAATATATCACAGTATATGTTCATCTACATATATTTCAGATTCATTGCACACCAACTGAAATATTCCAGGTCTTTAATTGTTTTAATACTGATGATTATGGCATACAGCTCATGAAAACCCAAAATGCCTGTCCCAAAAAATTAGCATATCATGAAAAGGTTTGCTAAACAAGCTATTAACCTAACCATCTGAATCAACGACATAACTCTAAACACCTGCAAAAGATTCCTGAGGCTTTTAAAAACTCCCAGCCTTGTTCATTACTCAAAACCGCAATCATGGGTAAGACTGCCGACCTGACTGCTGTCCAGAAGGCCATCAATGACACCCTCAAGCAAGAGGGTAAGACACAGAAAGAAATTGCTGAACTAATAGGCTGTCCCCAGAGTGCTGTATCAAGGCACTTCAGTGGGAAGTCTGTGGGAAGGGAAAAGTGTGGCAGAAAACGCTGCACAACAAGAAGAGGTGGCCGGACCCTGAGGAGGATTGTGGAGAAGGGCCGATTCCAGACCTTGGGGGACCTGCAGAAGCAGTGGACTGAGTCTGGAGTAGAAACATCCAGAGCCACAATGCAAAGGCGTGTGCAGGAAATGTGCTGCAGGTGCCGCATTCCCCAGGTCAAGCCACTTTTGAACCAGAAACAGCGGCAGAAGCGCCTGACCTGGGCTACAGCGAAGCAGCACTGGACTGTTGCTCAGTGGTCCAAAGTACTTTTTTCGGATGAAAGCAAATTTTGCATGTCATTCGGAAATCAAGGTGCCAGAGTCTGGAGGAAGACTGGGGAGAAGGAAATACCAAAATGCCAGAAGTCCAGTGTGAAGCACCCACAGTCAGTGATGGTCTGGGGTGCCATGTCAGCTGCTGGTGTTGGTCCACTGTGTTTTATCAAGGGCAGGGTCAATGCAGCTTGCTATCAGGAGATTTTGGAGCACTTCATGCTTCCATCTGCTGAAAAGCTTTATGGAGATGAAGATTTCATTTTTCAGCATGACCTGGCACCTGCTCACAGTGCCAAAACCACTGATAAATGGTTTACTGACCATGGTATTACTGTGCTCAATTGGCCTGCCAACTCTCCTGACCTGAACCCCATAGAGAACCTGTGGGATATTGTGAAGAGAAAGTTGAGAGACGCAAGACCCAACACTCTGGATGAACTTAAGGCCGCTATCGAAGCATCCTGGGCCTCCATAACACCTCAGCAGTGCCACAGGCTGATTGCCTCCATGCCACGCCGCATTGAAGCAGTCATTCATGCAAAAGGATTCCCGACCAAGTATTGAGTGCATAACATGATTATTTGAAGGTTGGCGTTTTTTGTATTAAAAACACTTGTCTTTCATTGATGGGATGAAATATGCTAATTTTTTGGGACAGGCATTTTGAGTTTTCATGAGCTGTATGCCATAATCATCAGTATTAAAACAATTAAAGACCTGAAATATTTCAGTTGGTGTGCAATGAATCTGAAATATATGAAAGTTTCATTTTTATCATTACATTATGGAAAATAATGACCTTTATCACAATATGCTAATTTTTTGAGAAGGACCTGTAGTGCCAGGTCTGAAAGGAGACAGTGATTTGTTAAAAATATAGTATAGAATCCTTAAGAGCACCAAAACACCACCAGACTTTAAAAATCTACAACATTTGTTTAATGTATAGTCTGGTGGTTGTCTGGCAGTTATGTTTACTATGAAAGTATTAAAAAGAGGAAGTAACGTCAAACCATTTTGGGTAAATTAATTAAATGCAATTATTTATTAAAATATGAAATCATCAATACATGGCCGTGTGTTCCTGATAAGGCTACTGGTGCAAAAATAAGTTGACAAAAACTTTTACTGCAGAAAGACATTAGAAAATTCTGAAAACTGAAAACTGTAAAAAGATAATAAAAATTAAGAATTTACACAACATATGTATGTTATGCATTTTAGTGCCGTGAGTTGAAGGATGGTAAAGAATGGAAAATGAAAAGTTGGGAACAAATACTAAGTCTCCAAAATACTCACAGACAACTGCTACTTGTCCGAGTCTGTAAGACAGGTTTGGAGAAAGCCGAGAAAGAAAAAGAGATAGAAATGTGGAGAAGAGCAGAAGCACAGTACTCGCACGGCAAGACCAACGATGACACAACGAACACGTGTGGTTCTACTTTTTGATGTAGCAACGTCATTGTCTCTCTCTAACTTGTATGATGATGGTAGAAATTGCAGAATTTGGAAACAAATTATGTTATTTTGAACAAAATCTAGCATAAATTACAATTTATATTTGTTTGTCTTTTGCTAACAGTAAATTTTAATTTCATAATGAGCTTTTGTCAGCAAAGAGTTGGCATGCAGTTGTGCATATTCAAGCTGAAAATTGTGAAATCATGAGGCAAAGACCATGCAAAACAAACAAGGAAGGAGTGGTTCACGATGCACAGCATGCCCTGGGAAAGAAAAGGAGATTCAGGGATGAATTCCATGTACATTAGTTGCAAGATGCATCACTAAGAAGATCCAAAACTGAGACAAGGGAATAAAATACAGGGTTACAGCTGTGGCAGGAGGTGACTGATTACAGCTGATGGTGACAGATTTAGAGGGTTAGCCTGTAACTCTGTCACTAACTTGGCTTTGCGGTCCCTCTGGCATCAGAGCCGATGGCGTGGGGGCGAGCGGTAGCCATGGCTGGTTACCCACGCTGTAGAGCCTGGGCCGCTTCACCTGGTCATGACTGGACAAGGGAGTGTAACTATTCCGGCGATGTATGAGAGCCGAGCCCCTTGGAATGTTACCCTAGTTGGAGGACGAAATACCGCAAGTGTTAAAGGAAATTAGACTGGGGAACATTTGAGACCGAGGGACCCCACACACAGGACACAAACGAAATGCCTGCACAAAACAGGGATTAATAAATAGACAAGGTGGAGCCCTAACTGGACAGATACAGTAAACACCTGCACCAACATAATTCTTTTTACAAAAACATGGGTCTGAAATGAATCAATTTAGTCTTTCAAGTATTCATGTTAAATTTAAATATCAAAATGCAACTAGAGTAAGGATAGTGATTAAATCTGCCAAAGCAATAGGCATGAGCAGCCATAGCCTCTACTGAGATAAGACTAAGGTCGTTTTCACACCAGATAGTCCGGTAGACTCGGTTCGGTTCGGGACCAATATTCATGACCTTTTGTTTACATTTGAGCTGGTGCGTTTGCATTCACACTGCACTGTGCAGTCGAGTCAACCTGTTGAACCAACCTATTCCCCTGCTCGCCTGTGGGGGCGCTGCACCAAGAACTACTGAAAGAAACGACACAAAAACCTCTGAAGACACGTCTTCTTCTTCTGTAAATAAAAATAAAAACGAAGTGGCATCGTTTTAGCAGTTTTAGGAGTTATATTTTGTCATTTTTCAAAAATGGACTTAGCATGAGCAGAAGATGAGACAGAAGACCATGGAGAATATTGTTTTTCCACACAAGGCAGCTGAAGGCTCCATATAAGGTCAGAGCAATGCGTGTTTGTTTACCCTGCGGAGCGGGGTCTGGTCTGTTTGCATTCACACTGTACTCGAACCGTGCTGGAGTTCGTTTCTACCGGACTGAGACCTAGGTTTTAGCCCGGGCCAGAGTTCGCCTTTTTGTTCCGTGACAGAGTCCAATGGTGTGTTCACACCTCCCTAAACGAACCGGACTTTCTAGGAAAACGAGCTAGAGTTCAATTAAAGCGGACTAAACAGGGCTAGTGTGAATGCACCCTAAGGCTCACAGCTCAAATCAAGCAGGTTTTTGAAGGTTAAAGATAAAGGGTGCGAAACAAACCAGGGGCTGTGGACAAGGCATCAAGGAAGCAAAGCCTCAGAGGGGATCCTGAAGCAGCTGCAGTGAAAATGTGCTCAGCTAAATCTCCTATAATGTTTGAATCCAACAAGGCTGCATGTAAACAGAAGCAGCAACATATTTGCATTTGTCGCTTAAACTCACAAGCGGTCGGTCTCGATGAGTGTTTACGGCCTCCACATTCAGAGAAAACATCTCCACTTTACAACCTAGAAGTTCAAAGATCAAATATAATCAGAGTGTGTTCACGTTCGTTGTTGCAACAGTCACATTTCCAGGTGAAGACCTACCGTACGCAACAGGAGTGAGTTTGAGCACCGTGTGCAGGGGGCATTTCATGTATGGAAGATCTTCTGTGGAACGAAGACCGAAGGGGTTTATAATTGGTTTCTTGTGAGATCTGTTGTGTGAATATGTGTTCATCTGACCTGCGCCCTTGTCCAGGAAGTAAGCCAAGAGACAGCGCATGACAGCCTGGTGGCAGATAACCAACACATTGCCCTGCCTCTCCAGCTCCATGATAACTGGCTCCAAACGCTGTACCAGATCCTGGTAGGACTGAGAGGAAACACAAGACAATTTCTTGCACAAGAAACTAACCATTATTCAAATTCAAAAATACTTTATTAATCCCAAAGGGAAATTAAGTGTTGTCTTAGTTAATGATCCTGGTTTCATTCAAGAATTGTTGGATGCTGATAGCTGTGGGCAGGAAGGATCTCCTGCAGTGAAGCCGAAGAATCTGGCCACAGATACTGATCCGTCCACCTGGATCCAGCTTGCTGTCAGATCCAGCGGGCCTCTCGGTCCTCCTGGGCAGCAGGACTGCCCAAATGCCAGCAGAATTCCTCCCTGAGCAATGGTTGCTGCTCCCAGCAGTCTGCTGAGCTCCTTGTCACCATGGACAGACAGCTTAAGGTGCCGGGGTCTCAGTCTTCCCGTTGTCATAAGCCAAGTTTCTCACCAGCTCCAGGATCTCGGTGGTCAGGTACACGAGCACCACTGCCAGGTTGACGGAAATCCACGGCACCTCCTTTTCAACTCATTTGGGATTTGGGGCTGTAGTTGAGGTATTTGAGCTTTTGAGATGTTAATCCGCTGTTCCTGGTTGTTAAAAAAAAAACACCTTGTTGCCATGGTTACGCATCATAACAAATGCCCAAAAGTAAAAAGTTTTCAGTAAAAACCCTTCCAGCTGCACAGCATCCGATACCAGAGGAAGTAATCGTCTGAAAAAGTGATTTACATCCAGAATAAAAGAGGAATTAAAGTTTTCAAAAGCAATAACTCAGAATGAATATAACAGAGCTACTCCAACATGCGGCCACCCCGAGCGGCGCAATTCTAGAACTATGTTGTGAAATGGACTGTTTTAGCATGAACAAGCTGCAGACTAGATAAATTCAGGAAATAATTGGTTGTGAGAATCATTGCTGGTCACCTCTCCTCCTGGGTAACGATAATGGTATTTGTCCTGGTCCCTCATAGAAAACTCTTCTGGGAATGTCTCCTGGATCATTTGATAGGTCATCTCCTCACATACACCCTGGGAAATGACAGCAAAACATTTACTGTCACATTACTGCAAAAGTTACATCATCAACAAAAGATGTTTCAATGAAAATATTAAAAGACAAGTTTCAAGATTGTGCAGAAAAGTAGCCCAATTTTAAAAAATGCCTAAATTTTGAGCCTATACCAGATTAAAAAAAAAAAAAAAAAAAAAAAAAAAGCACATATTGGCGGTAATTATAAGCACCTCACCTGTCCTTGAGAAAACCATAAACGAATTTAAGCGAAATATGACCAAACTACTCTCATTTCATTTTAGCCTTTGGTTGTTGGCCATAACACATCTAGACAAAGTGCTCATTCAGTTTTATATTAATGTTTTATTACTAAACAATCATGACTAGAGAAGATGCTTTATAATAAAATCATATTCTTGTTTGGTATATCAGTAAAGAAAATCATACAGGCAAATATTTGAAGTACATTTATCACAAAAAAGCTGAATGCTTTAATTTTCTTACTGCAAATAAAACTGTTCTTATTTTCTGTGACTGCAAGTTTTTTTTTTCACACTTTTGTTTGTATTTGGGATATTTTGGGATGGAAATTGGTAAAATGATCACATCTAAACTTGCATATTTTCTCAGAATTTTTTGTTGTTGTTCAAAATACAGTTTGTTTCTTCCAAACCAACAAAAAGCATGAAAGCATTAAACCAGTGAGCTGAATGACTATCCACTGACAGCATCAATCTCGTTGAGGATTTTCCACTGCTCATATGGCACTCCGAGCTCTTCGGCCGTCTGGATGGTCCTCCTCAGCTGACTCGTCCACACCTTCAGGTCTGACAGCCTATGCTTGTCGATAAAGTCCCGCAGAGCATGGGCGAACTGGGGATGAGAGACAGAAAAAAGCTTTCTGTTCATCATCAGTGGTATTTCTGCTTCATCATCATCCTGTTTGGGGGAACTGGTAAATGAATAGGTTTGATGAAGCAAAGGTCAAGACTTGGGTATAAACTTCAGTTAAGTTTTATCCACTTTCCCATCTATAGACTCTGGTATGCAGTTCAGAAGAGGAGGATTACAAAGGGGAGAGAAAGGTATCGTACCTGTTTCCCCCGAGGAGAAAGTTCAGAGTCTCCTCCGATGCGTCCCTGGACATTGTGGTTGCTCTCCCCATGTCGACACAGGTAGATGGAGTGGGAGTGCACCTGTATGTTCATGAGGTAGTAAACTATTTTGCTCTGAATGTAGTCCTGCACCCGGTTCACCAGAAAACGCTGTCCCACGTTGATCACCTTGATAAAGGAGAGGTCCCTGTAGGAGCCAATGAAATGTGTTTATTGTCACCATCTAGTGTTTCTCTTCTGTAATGTCAGCGATAATGGTGCTTAAAATAAAGTTATAGCAGGGGTCTGCAAACTTTGTGATAAAAAGAGCTACCACTTTGCTTACTAATTATGATGTCTGGAGCTGCAAAACCTGCTACAACTGTGTATGGTCCACTGGTGGCACATGGGCCAATACAAGTCTGTTGGAGATGGCTTTTCCAGCCAGTGGGAGTGATATTATAAAATAAAAGTCTTACTATTATTAACATTTATTGATAGTTTTACATTTTATTACAAAATAAAAGACCAGATTCATGTAAAGAAAGAAAAAAATATATAATTTTTAAGAATTTTATAAAAATTCAAACATGGAACTCAGCAGGTCGATTGGAGTTCTCTTAATTGTTGAAGAATTAAGTATCCTACTTAAAGCATGATGTTAAAAACAGTATAAAATTAGGCCAGTTTGTTGGATATCCAACTACATTTTGGATGTAGTTGCCGCAGCCGGTTCCTGGTAGATTAGGGCGCTGGTTCCCACATCCGTGCCCATCACCAGAGCGGAGGGGTTTTCACCGAGCAGAAATTCCCTCAGTGCCCCAGGGAGCCGAGCCTTGACGGAGGTTTTTTTTTTTTTCGGAGCAAGATGTCCAGGTTGGACCAGCGTCCCTCACCTCTGGATAAGCATAACCAGACGGTGACGTCGCTCTCCAACTGAGCTCACCAGCTTGCGTTCCAGGCGGCCGCAGCGAACAACACGTTACGCTGTTGGCGTACAACATCCATGAGGTGGGAGGAGACGTGCCTCTGCAAGGCAGCTGACATCATCCTCAACCGGTGCGCCTCTTTGTTGTCTGCTGGTCTTGCATCGCAGCCGGAGGACGAGGTTTCCCAGAGGTTCTTCTGGCCCGTCACTCCACCTCCGTCTCGGAGGAGCTGCAGAAAGCTTTTTGTTGGAGGGCCAAAACCAACGAGGGATCATTTTCAAGATGTTCCACGGTTGCACAATGCTTCCCCACTCTGCTACGCCAGCCTCACCTGTCAGACATCCCTAGCACCCAGAAGTCAGTTTTTCCCGGAGATCACCAGCAGGTGGCGTCCTAGGACAACAAACCGCAGAGCTTAGGGAGAGCTGACTGAATGACGGTTTGTGGGATGTGTGTGAAGATGACACGAATGTGGGAAATAACATCATTTTATGACAAAAGTGTCTTTTAGCCAGTCTGTCAGCTCGGATGACCTGACAGCTCCGTCACACACACTCCACACAAATGAGCCGCTGGCCTTTTAAAGGTTCTTTCAATCACTGTCGCTCCAAACAAGGCGAGACGCCTGCATAACACAACAGTCATAAGTGAGTGTGGCCCCCACAATGAGTCTCAGTGGAATAACTCGTTTTTCAGCCAAGCTGCACACCCCTCACAAGCGGTGCCAACGCGCGCTCCCGTGGCGCGAGCAGTCTTCACCCATACGGCGCTGCGTTATGAGGGTGCGCACGCAGCTTCTCAGCGCCCGCCGCTCACGTCAACGTAAACGTGAGATCGCTATACGAGCCCAGTAACGTATCTCGCTCTCGGCAGGAGCGACACGCATCTCACTGCAGTGGTGTCAAACACACGCTCCCGTGGCGTCAAAAGTTTTTCACACGCCTCACAGCAGCTCCTTTCATTCATCCTCGAAGAAGGCTTTCTAAAATAACACTGCAGTTCGATGAATCACTCAAAAGCTCACGTGATTCGCAGCTAAGAATGAACGTGTTCTGCAGACTGAGTCCAGTGGTAAACCTCGCCCTCAACCGGCGCCGCGCGCTGTTTCCTGACCGCACCAGTGTCAAACGCGCGCCCCCGCGACAATCCTCGCCTAAGACACCGCGTCGACAAGGGTGTACACACACGACTCTTCAGCGCACATCGGCTCACATCAACGTAGATGCAAGCCCACAGCCTGAGCACGGCACGGAAATGTTTTTCAGAGCCTTTTTCATAAAAGTCTCCCCATGAGTGTGCGGAGCGCGTCTTTGCGACACATGACAGCGGTGGAGGGGTGAGGCATTACGTACCACGTAACGCACACCTGCTCCCCGAGCGTTATGCAGAGCGGCAGCACGGATATGAGCCGCAGCCTGAGCGCTGCACCCACAGTAAGCGGACGTTACGCGGAGTGGCAACGAGCACGCGCTCCAGACGGATAGATGAACCATTATCAGCAGGGGATTCACGCTGCAGTACAGCTCAAAACCCCCGTTCGGAGGAACTCTAGAGATGTTTTCTGTCATCTCTAGAACAGATTTCGTCCCCCCTCGCAGAAGCTCAGGAAATTCTGATTAAAATGTAATTTCCAGGGTCCCAGAAGGAGAGGAAAACACAGGGTTCCACTCTCGTTACTCCCTGGCCCCAATGGACCGGAAAGATGAGATTTATCCTAGATTTGTCAATTTTGAACTGTGAGACAACATTCCCATGAAAATGCGTCAAGCCGCTCGGCAGCCGCCACACAAAGCAGGGAGGAGAATTCTGCTTTATCTGGACATCTGTTGCTGCTGACCAATTTCTCCAGACAGGTGGCAGCAGTGCAACTCACGTGAAACCGGCTGAGTGATATCAGCTGTTTTCCGTCAGCAGACCTATGTCACACATGTCAGACTTCACAGAGGCACATACATTTAACGAGCTGTCGGGACGCTGTGGTCCCCCACACAGCAGCCCATATAAATGTTTTTAGAGTGTCGCACGGGTTTTGAATGTGATTCAACACTTTGCTTCTGTGCTGCGGAATCATCAGGTTTTTGATTCACACAGACAGCAAGTGATTGTTGCATACATAACTGGCAGGAGGTGTATGCGCTCCACCCAAATGTTCCACATTGGGAGACAGATGCTGTGTGGGGCACTCAAATCTGCTCTCCATCAGAGCAGTGTACATCTCCAGTGTTCTGAACAGGGGGCGGATGTGATGTCCAAGGACGTTTTGCGTCACAGGGACCGAGACCCTCCATCCAGAGCTGATGGCTCAGACACGGCAGAAATCGTACGAGCGGCTGTGGACCTGTTTGCAACACGAGAGAACGCTCAATGTCAACTATGGTTCTCACTGAGCCCATGGGACGAACCACCGCTAGGGACAAAATGCTTCTTCACTTTCCTTCACTCCCTTTGATATCATGGTTTCTGAACCGAGCTCAGGAGGAGGGACTGAAAGCTCTTCTGTCCCGAGCGCGTGAACGCATCATGGTTCCCAGTTCTATGACACCTGTTATCGAGGCGCTCGTGGAATCTGCCATGGAGGGAGGACGCTCTCTTCCAGGCGGGAGGAGCGATCAAGAATTACCCAGAATAGGCCAGCACCTTTGGGTCTGGCCACTGAGTGGATCCACTTAGAGAGGATGGGTCTCTCTCAAGATGTAGTGCGTACGATTCAGGATTCACGGGCTGTATCCACCACAGCGCTGTTCACATCAAGTGGACAGCCTTTCAGCGCTGCTGTACAGAGAAAGGTGTAGAGGCCACTTCATGTCCACTAGGTGGTGTGCCGTCCTTTCTGCAACAGCTGATGGACAGAAATCTGGCGTTCAGCACGATTAAAACGTATGCTGCAGCCATCTCTTCCTGTCACGAAGGTTTCGGGGACAGAACAGCTTTTAATCATCCGCTGATGAAGTGTTTTTTAAAAGGTGTAAAGAGAAAGGTGTAGAGGCCACCTCATGTCCACTAGGTGGCGTGTTGTCCTTTCTGCAGCAGCTGATGGACAGAAATCTGGCGTTCAGCACGAGTAAACGTATGCTGCAGCCATCTCTTCCTGTCACAAAGTTTTCGGGGACAGAACAGCTTTTAATCATTTGCTGATGTAATGTTTTTTAAAAGGTGTATAGAGAAAGGTGTAGAGGCCACCTCATGTCCTCTAGGCGGTGTGCTGTCTTTTCTGCAGCAACTGATGTACAGAAATTTGGTGTTCAGCACGATTGAAACATATGCTGCAGCCATCTCTTCTTGTCACAAAGGTTTTCGGAGACAGAACAGTTTTTAATCATCCGCTGATGAAGCGTTTTTTTAAAAGGTGTACAGAGACGCAGGCCTGTTTCACGCCCACTTGTTCCACAGTGGGACTTAACGCTGGTCCTGCAAGCCCTGATCTAAGTTTCATCTGAGCTACTGAATCAGGTTTCCAATTAAATTCTGTCTCTTTAAACAGCCCTGTTGTTGGCTTTTACATCCGCTAAGAGGGTGAGTGATTTATCTGCCCTCTCTGTCGCTCCGTCATGTCTTGGAATTCAGGCTGATGGCAGCTCAGCTGATCTAAGACTGAATCCAGCTTTATGCCTAAAACATCATGAGCTCTTTTAAATCAAGAGCGATATCGTTGGAGGGGTGGGCGTGGACTAAATTTTTCAGTGTAATGCTCTACATGACGGCATAAACCCACTAAGCGACAGCCTTAAAGGGCTACGCCTATATTCATAGAATCTGGGGTTACAGTACGTAACCAACGTTTTATGTCTTGTATTTACCGGTATACTATCCATCACATATTTAAGAATGACAGGAAGTCTGCTAAAACTAGCCATTTTCATTGTTGGCAATCATTTAAATAAAATTCAGTTTTATTTTAGTTTTGGTCAAAGCCTGAAGGAGCCTCTGCAGAGGGACCAAAGAGCCACATGTGGCCCCAGAGCCGCACTTTGCAAACCCCTGACCTATAGTGAAGGAGGACCAGTAATACTGTATGTTTACGGTTAATGTAAAAAAAAAAAAGGTGTGATTTCATGAATTCTTACTTGTCATAGTCATCAGGGTCTAACAGCTGATAAGTGACCTTGTAGCACTCAATGCGTTTCAGGAAGTCCTCCATCACTCTCTCTCTGTGGTTTTCAGGATAGTCCGGACTGGAAACTTTTACTTCCTGCAGCAGACGTTCAAAGGCTGTGAACACGCAGGGCACTCCCTGCTCTCACTGAGTGTTATTAGATTAGGAATCTACAGTATAAAGATGAAAGGAAGCAGCTGAGATCAAATCATACCAGAATATTTGCAGCGATGACATCTGGATCGTCACACACCGACTCGACAAAGAACACCTAAAACAAAAGTTTAATTATTCCTGGGATAAAGAACTACGTCAGTACATTTGTTCATTAAAAGAGGTATAGATAGGTTTATTACTTAAACGCCAAGGAGAACAGATGACATAATACTGTTTAACCTTGAAGGCGTTCTCCTTCACAAAATCCTGGATTAGATCCCGTCGTTCTCTCGTTGTGTTTGTTGCATCAAAAACCTGAAACGAGAGCAAAATGAGAAATGTTTCTTAGGATGTGGCCGCATTAAGGCCTCTGTTCGAGGTATTTTACAAAAGTTCAAAACAAGTCAGATGCTCATAAAATATATAAAAAGATGACTCACTGCAATTTGACCCCCCTCCTCCATCAGGTACTCCTTCACATCCTGCAGAGCCACCAGAGCACACTGCCTGCAAGGGAGGCAGAACACAATCACTGGTCTTCCACAGGCACTGGATAACATCTTCTTTATGAATAATCTGACAAAAAAGGTGCTTTGTGAAGTGAATACAGTTATAATGTCTGCTCAGGCTTGGGCAAACGCTGACGATAAACCCAAAACATTCAGAATTGTTGAAGGCAAAAACTGAAGCACTAAAATCCCAAACATTTTTCCTGTTCCCTGTTTGCTCCTGGCTGGAGAGCCGTACTACACCCTTCAGCTTGAGAGTGACAGCGGCAGCTTGTTTCATATCTGGGTCACAATTCAGCAGAGGGACGCTGTCAAGGGCCGGTCATATTGTCATGATAGTCAAGCTTATTAAGAACTCCATTTCAATTACTCTACCATCAGATAAAACCACGAGGGAAGAAGGCCTTGTTTCTTCTGGGTAATCTTTGTGGAGAACTCAGCACATTAAAAACACAAAATAATTTGTCACGTGCCTGTGTGTGTATCGGTATAAGGTGGCACAAACACTTGGCTGACCATGGCTGAATATTGACTTGTGGCCAAAACCCCCAAACAGCTTAGTCACTGTTGCAGTAGAAGAGTCTGATAAAATGATTTCTGTACAAAACTGCATACTCAAACGGCAAAGATGTAGTTTTTCTGACCACCACATAGATCAATATATTTTACAGAGGCTGAAGAGACAAGTACAAACACATGAGTGGAACTTACTTTCTTATTTTCATGGCTTCTTCGTTGTCGTGGCGAAAGAAATCGTAGGACTTGTAAGCTCTGACTGCCTCTCTGCGGTACACGCCTAAGTTAAAGACTGTAAATACAGACAGACACTCACGGTGGTGACAGCTTTTATTGTGAAAAGCTGCTAGTGTGACATTTTTTTTTTTTTAGATAATTAGATTATTTAAAGTAACATTGACAAAGCCTTTTACTTAATTATAAATGTATTAAACTCTGAAAATTTCAGCATATATAATGCTACACATGCATGTCCCCCCCACCCCACACACACACAGTAAAGTGAGTGGTTTCTTGACCGTTTAAATTAAAAAAAATAAAACACTACTCCCTGTTCACAATCTTTTTATGAAATAAGTCAAACTGCTCTGATAAATGTCATTAGTTTCTGCAGACATCAGTTTCTGCTTGATCCGTGAATAACGAGCAAAGATCCAAATCAGCGGCCAGATTTAAAATATTGTTATTTAGCTGCTAAATAATAACTACACAATAAACTGTGCATTTAGCCAAAGCTGTAAAATCACTTTTAAAACAAATAGCAAACATGAGGGAGATACAAATATATGCAGGATGTAGAATTTATTTACAAAAATGGAAAACATGCAGGAAAACACTGGATATTTAAAAAAAAATAATAATAATAAGTGTGTTAAAACAAACACACACACACACACACACACACACACACACACACACAC